AAACCCCAAAACCCCAAAACCCCGTGAGAAGTAGCAATTTTAAGTTATCAAAAATTTAGCAGTTTTAAATTATAAATGAATTATAACTATTCAGTTCCCTCTTAAATTTTGATATTTGAGTCTATAGAGTCCTTTTCTTATGATTTGATAGAAAGAAAATTAGCACTCACATCTTAAGATAATTCTTCATTAGCTATGCCTTCCTTTAATAAATCAACCAATAGCGAACTAGAATCGATATTCATTAATAAAAATAATAATTCATCAATACATGAATAAAATTTACAGTATTTGCAACAGAAATTAAATATAATGAATCCTCTAATAATCAAACCATATCCCAGGGTCATACTAATCAAAGCTCTAGTAAAAAAATTGCATCATGTTTAGATAAGAGGAATTCGACGATATTCATCATGGCTGAGTTCTGATTAAAAATTTAGGTCATGAGTTAAAAACTGCTGGATTCCCTTGCTAAATACTATGAGAAATATAAGGAAGCCGAATCGCGGGATTTTATACGCAATAGTATTGAATAGATAGAGGATAAAGAACTAATTCTGACTCTATCAAATAAAATGATACTCTTAAAGGTTTGTGGTATATCTTTGACTGAGATTGAGGTGAATATAATGTTAATGGTGATAACTCCTAGTCATGGGAAGCTAAGAAGAAGAAAACTAATGCCAGATTGCTATTGAAAATGTGATTATTAGAAAAATTAGGACAAGCTGTAAGATGCAATATAAGTCCCAGATTAATGGATTTAGCAATAATAACTAATCAATATGATTAATATAATCCCACCTTAAAAGTGGCTAGTTAATTATTCTTATTCCAATAAAAGAAAAATCATTCCCCAGTCTTAGATAGCAAAAATTTAGTAATATCTTGAATAAGACTATTCATTAATCCCAATCACAACTACCATAATGCAGCTAATTTAATTGTAAATCTAGACGCTTTTAGAAGTAATTGTCAAATGATTAATACATTCAGTAATAGCATTAATAGTACTAGAATATGCCTATTAGTTTATTAATAATCGCAATAACTATTCGTAGAAATAGCAAAGGAAATATAGAAATGCAAATGTGATAACCACCAATATGACAAATGAAAATAGTCATAGATAGTATCATAGAAGAGCTCAGCCTTAATTGTCTGAGAGATGATTTACAGAGAAATTAGTTGAGAAAGATTGAATAGTAATCTTGCCATATACTTCAAATTAATCTGGTAGTCAACTTTAACTGATGCAATAGCTCTCTCGTGGTATTTAGTATAAAAGATCAGATTTAACTGAAGCTATAATTTGCGCTTTTATTCTTAAAGAGATAAGCGAGAATATGATTCGAGTACAAAAACACATGACAAGCATAATCAAAAAACAATCTTGTTTGACGATCTAAGAGAGTTATTATCATTTTAGGGATGTTGGAAATTAATAAATAGTAAAGAAGTAATTGATGCAACTCGAGTAGGTATACATTGCCTAGCGTTTAGTGATTTTAAAAGATTCAAAGATTCCTTTAAACATTGATGCTGTTTCTATTTAAAACTTCTTGAATTAATAATAAACCAGGTATGAAAAACTCACGTGCTTGAACGAAGTCGTCACACAGTGCACTGATGATAGATTCAGTTTTATTATAGGTACTGCTGATTTCAAGTGCAAAAATAAGTAATTCACTCTTGCATAGTACTGTGTTGATTTGCTCTTTACTAAGGCAAGATAATCATTGGTGTTTGGTACTGACTAGTGCAAGCTTATGGTATCAGCTTTTATCATTATGAATTCTCTTATGAGTGAACAAGCAAGCCAAATCGATGTGGTATTCCTAAGTGGGTACCAAATGAAGACAGACTAAAAAGAATCCAAAGACATCTTGATGCATGTGCATATTTTTATATCAATATCTAATACCGTCTTAGTTGAATAGCCTTCAAGCAAAGAAGGACAAGATGAAAGAAGAAAAGATCAATAACTCTTTCCTGATCCTTGAGGATGAAGCAATTTATTTCTATGCTGATATCATGAGGAGTTTAAGACTCTTGCAGCGGATTCTCCTTTATATGTTTCACTGCTACACCTACCATGAGTGAACTTGAGCTCAAGATTGAAGAACAGTTCAAGTTCATGTAATACTCATACTCCTTATTTTATGCTGCTGTTATTGATAAACTTAAACCATTCATGGTTGATGTAGCATTCAAAGTAACCTCACTAGAATAGAAAGCTGCTCACTTAAGAGCTAGCCAAGTTATCATCAGTGCTAGTCTACTGTAATAATCACTCACAAAAGCAATCGTCACTGCTGGTATTCCTTCTGTTGTTATTACAGGTGATATTGATTAGAAATGCCAACGCCAACTAGACAAGATGAATACTATTACTCAGCTTTACGATATCATTGTGTAAATGACAACATTGGGTATGAGAAGCCTCGACAACAAATCTAATATGCTCCCTATAATTCTAGTTATTGTAAAGAGCTTTAAGAATAGGAACGCTATTATTCAGAGCTTCAACAGAGTGGGAAGATTTGGAGACAAATGTAGCAGAGAGACCTTTGAAGATGTCTAAATCATAGTCACTGTAGCAGAGAAAAATTATCTGTTTAGCACTTCAAGCTCTTAACACTCTTGAAAAAGAGCTAGTAGTTCTCAAGCCAGTAACTACTATCTTTAAGAGCTAGCTAAGTACTAAAAAATATACACAACTTCTTGGGCAAGGAGCCTGAGACAATAACAAAGGCTCTAACTAGGAAGTAAATTATCATCAACAGCAAAAATTTATATTAATTCATTGTTCTCTTCACTCCCAATGCCAAATTCTTTACGTTAAATTTCAGTCCTTTATTTCTTCTCTTAGACATCCATCTTTCCAAATATGTTGCCACTTAACTTTGTGTTAATCGAAAAGCCCGACCAAAGAGAAAATTGCAAAAAGTGGATATTACTGATACTTTTCCGATGTCCAAAAGGAGGCTTTTCAGAAACTCTAATTTGAATTTACACACTTTAGTTGTAATGGAACATAGTGATGTGGTGAAATGAGTATAGGAATTGTTTCAAAAACGTATTAAATACTAAAATTTAATCAAAATATAAGTAGCACAATTCATAGTAATTATTATTAAATTCAACTAGAAGTAATATGGAAAATACGTAAGATATGAATGCACTTAAAATAAATTATTAACACATCATTCTTGAAAAAGAGCAGTTAGAGGATGATGCTGAATTAAATTAGTATAGAATTTAAAAAGAGGAACCAGTTAAGATATCTGAATTTTTTTTAAGAGATTTCAATTATTTGCTCGTTAACGAAAATAGTATAGAGTTGGTAATTCCTGATATTTTGAAAAATGAAGGCATTTGCTAGCGAAAAATCGATAATTTTTAAAGTGATTTTCATCAATCCCTTGATAAGGAATCCTAAGTTATTGAACTTTTGCCTCACGATAAATTTTTGAAGAGAACAGTTGAATTGAAAATTAAGGCCTTACCGTAGGCTAACTATGCCATTTTTATCCAGAAAAATAATTAGCATGCTAAGGAACTTGATATCTGGCGAACTATTCCATGCTAATCAGAAGAAGATGGCTTATTGAAGTTGCATCTTAATAGTTTCTCATTTATGTTCATATCTTCAGACCCTAAAGGATAATTCTCAGTAGAAGAAAAAAAAACAGAACAAGAATTGAAGTAGTCTAATGTTAAATTTCATAAATTTCTGCCCGGATTAAACTTTGTTGTTAGCAAACCTTGCAGTGATGAATGTAGGAAAGCTTAAGATTTTCCTACATATGTTCTTTCCTCAGGTTACGTGACTGAATTTCATATTTGTGACTTGGATAAATATAAATGTCCCTGTGGGGACGAGTTAAGCACTTACCAAATTAGCCAAATCATAATAATGCAAGCTGAGGCCAAAATTCAATATGCGCTTGATTTAGGACCAGGCAAAAAAACTCCTACTTAAAAGACTGATATAGTTGCAAAAGGTAACGACATTATGGTCATTGGAAATGGTTGCCCAATCAAGTATAAAAAATTCACAATATCGGTAGTAGCTGCCGCAACTGATCCTCAGGATATCAAAGATCTTGCTAAAGCTGGATTTTTATAGCTCGATGAAAATGGCAATGCAATCGGTAAAATGTTTTAGTTGAATAATGATTCTGGTGTTTGCATTAAAGTCCTAGTTGGAAAGTTTTATAATGGTGAAGGTTTTACATTAGAATCATTTAAGTAAAATGCAGGAAAAGATTTAAGAGAAAATAACTTCTAGGTAGAAATTACTTAGAATTTAGATTAGTTTGTTAAGCTTATCAAGGATGGAAAATATAGCTCTGCTATGATAATAAGTGATCATATATCTCAGCCCTTTAAATGCACCTAAGCTTAGAAAAATGAATATGTGGAGGCGGTTTACACTTTTTGGAAGAAAGGCAATGGCTTAATGATTTTTGAAGAAAATGATACAACTGATGATAGGCTCTCCAACATAGCTTTAAGAAAACTCTTGGGATTCACTTTACATGGTAATGATCCTGGGTGCTAGGTGCTCATTCCATCTACGTCCATAATTCCTGAAAAAGGAAAATTCTCAGTCCACGAAATATTCACTGGTATAGTAGGCAAAATTCATGAAGGAGTTACTATAGCAAGACCAAAAGGGGTGCTTCCTCCATCTATATAAGTGATAGCTAAATCTAGTAGTGATAAGCCCTGTATAATGTGCTATGATGATTAAAACTTCGGAAGAGTTGTGATTGATACAGGATTTACAAAACTATACTAACAATTCTATAAAAAGACTGCCGGTACATCTAAGTATATATAGAATGCAGTAGTCTGGATTAATAGAGCAAATCTCTCTTGAACGTTTTTTTTAAAAATAATTTAATTGCCATTATAGTATTGGCAGTTTGGTTATTAAAAAACATCATTATTTTATTTAAGGATTATTTGGGGATTAATGTTGGTTATTCTATAATTCCATCATTCTTTCATTAATGGGTTCAGTGTATACACCTTAAAAACTTCATCTTTATTCACTTTTTCTTTCACTTTAGGGTTAGTTTGCATTTTTTCTTAAATATCCCTTTCCCTTTCAACTTAACAATTCACCTTCCTTCACTTTTGGTCCAACCACACCTAGTATGTTTTTAAGCTTATATTAGTAAATTCTAGCTGACTATAGCTTGCATTATTAGTTGGCAATAGATTAGTGTGTAAATTCTCATATATATTCATAGGGATTGCTTTTGCTGAGTTGCAAGTCTTTTGACAGAAATTCTATTTTGTCTATTTTAGTAATTATGTTTTTTACTTGTAGTTATTTTGGGCAACTCTTATTACACAAGTATTTTCACTATAATATTAAATGTTATATATCAAATAGCAATTTCTGCAAGGAAATAAGTGCTGAGATCTATAAAATCTTTTATCCTTTTCTGCCAAATACTTACCTTTTTCCTTGATTGTAGGCAAATCTAGCTCTGTAACCAGTAAATATGTCGACCATCTGACTATATTATAAACAGAGAGAGTTCCTCGATGACTGATAATTGAGAAAGGTTTTACACAAAAATGCTATTGGGTTTTGCAAAAGGTTTAGAACGTGATCTGAAAAAGCCCGCCTTCATGTTTTTTCTATGGTAAAGGTTTTTAGAATTACCACCTTGGATAGGAGTGGAGATTCTCAAAATCTAACTTTCTCAGCAATGGTTATTGTAATTTGATAATCCAGTTGTGCAAAGAAAACTAATTTAAAATAACATACTCCCACAAAGTATAGATAACTTTAATCTTTCCATGATTGTGCTGTGTGTTGGGCAATCTCTGACCTGTAGTGTCCTAAAAAGTTTTAAAAACTTTCTGTTCCAAATTATTTTATAACTTTACAAAAATTATTATTGATTGTTATAAAAACAAAGATGGGTTTTAGGGCTTCTCTCCACGAATATTTAAATTATGGTAGCCATTTAAAGCCTTGAGTACTTTGAAGATGAGCCTGAAGAGGAGCTATTTAAGAGAATAATTTATTTGATACAGATCATTCAAGAGAACTAAATCAACCAACCAAAGGAGAGTATCGAGGAATTTTAATATTACTATATGTTCTAAGCGAAGGAACTTGCTTCTACTTTATAATTAATATTGATGCAAGCAATGATAAATGACTGTAACATGCTGACAGACAAGAAGATGCAAAATGCATTGAAGTTAACTTAGCAGCAGGCCCAAAAACATACAGAGTAGGATTAAGAGCTTAAACAGCTTTATAGATACTTAGAAGTAGATGGGTATATATGACAGACTGTTGAATGTGCTGTCAAGATGGTTAAGAAGAAAGTGTCTTTGAATGTCACTGGCAAGATCAAAAGGATAGCAACCCATATGCAAAAGGATGCAATGAGACAACCTCTAGTGTTCTCCACTTCCTCTTCATTAAGAGCTGGAACAACCTCGTGATCATTAAGGAAAATTGGCTCATAAATAGATCAAGATGATTCATGAGTTCTAGGGGTAAATTGAGCGACTCCAGCATGAGCCGTAGACTGAAGACATGAAATTGAGATAGAATAAGGATCAAATCTAGCGCTAGAATGACTTCATAAACAGTTAATAGTGAATCAGAAGAGACGAAAAGTCAGAAAGTAAGCAGAAGGACTCGGAGTCTTTCTAGAAGGATTTCATCAGTGACTCCGTATCAGATGGGGATGATGAAGAGTTCACTCCAAGAAGAACAACCCAGAGGAATGTTACTAGGAGAACAAGCTTAGAGCAAGAAGAGATTTAAAGACACGAAGTTGAAGAAAGCAAAAAGATTATTGAAGATGATAATGAACACTTGCAGGTGTCTCTCTCCATGAGTAAAGATCAGAGACTTGATATCAAGTCATTTATGGATAAACTAAACTCGATAAAGCAAAAGAATGTTTAGTCCTTAACGGACAGAGCATCCAACTGCTAGCAAAACCAATAGAAAACTCTTGAAATGTATAAGAAATTGCAAACATTCAAAATTGGGGAGACAATCAATGGCTATCAAAATATTTTGCAGCAGAGGAATAAGATGATCAAGACTCAAAGTCATAAATTTTTCGAACCTGTCAAATTAAATCTATAGGATTTAGAAAAATCACAGCAATAGTATGAAGGAGCTCATCATTTATAAAGCACATAATTTAACAGTATAAATAGTTTGCAGGGTGATACCACAACGCAAATGTCCAGCACTATTATCAAAAGAAGAGATTAGTCTGAGGAAACATTCAATTGATTATTACTGATAAATCAAAGAAAAAAAATGAATATTCAATACTATTACTTGAAGATAGGAGATGTTAGCCTCGAGCCTCAATTTCTCAAACTCGGTTCATACTTTTCTAGATAGTCCATATCACCAACATTAAGACCTGACCATATCAAAAAAATAGCAAAAAGGTTTGGAATATAATATGAGCTCAATCCAATGGTAAAATACATTGAATCTGATTTAATATGGGTGGCATATCTTTATCTATTACTGAACATATCAGATTATAATCTACAAACCTAAGAAGGGATTCCTGATGATTCTATGATCACCTTAAAAAAGCTGATCCAGTCTCATGATTTTGATTAGCTTGTGGAGTTTCCTATAAAACTGCACCCTGCCTTTGAATATCTGTAAATGCTTTTGACTTATTAAAGATAGCTAAGAGATACTTAGTTGAATCTTTTGAAAAATGATACTGAAAGAATCTAGTACATTGAAAATTGCTCTTGGTTTTGCTTTAAGGAGCAAAGAATACATCATGCTTCTACTGATGAGTGTGGAATTTATTTCTATAACTTCAAACATTATAAAAAGTCATATATGATGCCTGAATGCTTGATGGTATCTATGGATGATAGACATAAAAGGTTATTACCCAATAATCCAGTATATCTTTCTTAACATGAAAAAACAATTATATTCAATAACCCCACTGATGAATATCATGAGATTGAGTGACTATAAGACTCATTAATTAGCGTCTTAAAGTCAAAGCTAACTTCAACTTCTAAGATAAATGAACTAGACTCTACCAAAGATTCTAATGGAAAGCTCAATCCAAACATGAAGATATAGCTAAATTAATCAAATTTGAATAGTCCGGAAAAGTAAAATTAAACTTTGATTCAACCGTAAACGATCAATCAATAGGATTTAACTGTGAACTCAAACCATCAACTTAATAAGTTCATGTATAAGAGGATAAGAAAGTAACATAGGAAAATATTTTCGATGCAATAATTAGGTTAGACTCAAACCCTTCAAAAACAATTATGCAATAATTAGAATACTTTCTAAAGTATTTACAACACACATAGAGTTGTTGAATCAATCAGCAGTTTCAGAGCTTTACCCTAACTTTAAAAAGCTTTATTCTAGCCTAACAAAATCTTATAACAAATAAGAGAAAGTAGTCTAAGATAAAGATCTCAGGGAGATATTGGAATCAATAGTAATACTAAGAAAATTATTACGAATTCCAATTCAGTTTCAAACATTAAAGACTCCAAGTATATTCTTCACTGTACTGGAGAAGATAGCTGTAGTATGACAAGATAAAATTCGCTATCCAAGACTAGAATCAAAAGTTAAAAGTCATCTACTACCATAAATAATCAAATCAAATCTTAATGATTAAGATCATACAGGGGTTAAACAGAATATTTAATCTTATGTTGTTAAAACAATAAGATTTATTGCTTTTGACTCAGGATTTAAAATAAAAAAGATTATTTAAACTCGATCTAGATTTTATATCACTCGGGGTTTTGGGGTTTTGGGGTTTTGGGG